TCCCTAACTAATACCTAATATCTAACTATGCCTCAAAACCTTATCCCAATGACGTTTTACGTTACAGTTAGTAGTGGCTGTTTCATCAGGCGGAGAAAAAAAGCAGGGCCCAAGACATAGCCCACCCTACTAAGAGTAACTATCTACCTATCTCGTAAGGTTTAATCCTAATCCACACCTTAAAGGTAAATGTGCCCAGCTGAGAGCAAAGGTGAGGCCAACGTGGATGGAACCATATTGGGCAGCAAGAAGTTAGTGAGTTAGTTTGTCTCCAGTCAGTTACTTACTTAGTTAGTCACTAGTAGTTAGTAGTAACTAATCCGCTCGCTTTGAGTTGGCCGCGGCACTAAAGTAGCCTGACTAACTAATTAATTAATTAGTTAACTAGTATTAGTTGAGTAAAGCGATCGGGGATCACTCTTGGGTTTTTTGGTGTTAAGAAGATTGATTATCTTGTTGGCGCTGTAGGATGAGGTGGTATGTATGGAGAGGGTTGGGAGGGTTTGAGTTTGGGTAGTAGTGGCGAGTATGATAGTACTTAGTATATAGTGTTAGGTAGATAAGGGTCTCATAGAGGGATGTTCAACTGTTTCATTCATCACAAGAAATGTAGGAAGATGTGTTGGAGATGCTGTAAAACTTGCCAATCCAGATCGCAAGTGGGGAAAGCACCAACTGGCATTTGAAACTGGCGGGCCAATCGGCGGGGCGCTTGGGCCACGCGAACCTGAGAAAAGTGGAAGCAAAGCAATCCTCCCATCCATCCATCTGCATCTCTCTTTCTTGAGGCTGCCAGCTCTTTTTGTTTCCTCACCGGTCTTGCCTTGTCTTGTCGTCTCTCTTTTATTTCCCCTCCCTTCTTCTTTTGTTCTCTTTCTCTCTCTCCCTCTTCTTTCTTTCCTTGTGGGATCAACTATATTTTGGGAAAGACTGTGAAAGTGGGATCATGTGGTATTGCGCAGCCTATTAAGAGGGGGAAAAACTAAGCTGGATTTCGAGTGGAGCTCTCCATAATCAAAACACTCTTCTCACCCGGCAACGCTTCCAGTATTAGTTTGACGTTGCAACACAGGTGATTTTTTTCCCCCATTTGCTTCAATTTTATTCCCTCGTGTCTGTTACAAATTTGCTTAAGCTTATTCCCCATGCTAACCAACCAGGAAATGCCAGCGAAACGGTGAAACCCTCGCTCCTTGCTGTACTCCCCGCAACCCTTCGGTTTCCGGCTTCGATCGTTCGCTCGATCCTTGCGGGCACCTCGAATTTTCTCCTGCTCTTCTCACCATTGGACGTTGATTCTGCTTCTCTGCCGGTCTGCTCTTCTTCGCCACGCCTGTTCCTTTCCCTTCTTCCCAGCCCGACCTGCAGTGCCGTTCCTTCCTCGTGATAGGTCATGTGTACAACACGATTGAACCTTGGCGCGACGATAGTGGTACACTCTCATTTCAAGTGATTCGGGAACCCGTCACTCTCTCAAAATGGTCAAGGCGGACGTGCGGAGGGATTACTACGCCGACCTGGGTCTGACCCCGAGCGCGGAAACAGAGGAGATCAAAAGACAGTTTCGCAAGCTAGCGCTCAAATACCATCCGGATAGAAACCCCGGGAAAGAGTTGGAGTTCATCTCCAAGTTCCAGGCGATTCAGGCAGCCAATGAGATCCTCAGTGACCCTCAGCAACGACTGAAATATGACACGGATCGCTTGCGCGCCGGTTACGGCAAGCTCTACGGCCCTCCCAAAGCCAATACCGCTCGAAAGGCACCTCCGAATCCCTACGCATCCCCATATACTCCGAAACCTCAGCCTCCGAAGACCCGTCCCCAGTCTTTTCATCATAGTCCATCTGCTGGCGCTCAACGCTATGCTAGCTACGCGCGAGCGGCCCCGAAACAGGCATGGGAGAAGAGGCCAGATGAAGGGCAAACACGAGCCGACGCTTACAGAGGGTTCCAGGAGATGAAGGGCAATGCTATGCCGGGTGGCTGGTCTTCTTTTGACCCCCGCACCGGTTATGCTGGCACTCCACCTAGGCCTAACGGGCAGTCTCCGAGGCCTAAATCTGCCTACGAGTACTTCAAGAAATCCCCCAAACCGACGAGTCCCGAGCCGACTCGGACGCAGTCCGCAAAGAAGAAGCAAGGATTCGCCCCGCGCGCTGCTGGCGGCGATGAGCCCATGGCCGCCAATACCTCTGCGTATACGAGCGTTCCCCGGGCTGAGCGCTCGCAAACTCCAAATTCGTTTTACGCTCCGGCTCCCTCACCCACCGCTAGGAAATCGGCAGCAGCCGCGCAACATCGGGCAGAGAACACAAGTACCCCAGACATTGAACGAGTGAGAAGCAGATATGCCACCGCTGGCGGAGAGCGCACATTTTTCTCGAGTGCCGGGCTTGGACGCTCTGCTAGCATGCGCGATTCGACGGCGAGTCCTCAACCCCGTCCCAGGACCAACCCACCTAGCCCCACTCCTCCGGAGAGTGGCAGACACCGGAGCGCTAGTCCCAAGTTGAAGAAAGATAACCGGAATTATACATCTACAAGCTCGAGTGATTCGGAGGATGATGACTTCTTGGCGCGCAAGCCCAAGGCGGTCCCTAAAAGCCGGCTTCGTGCCCATAAGAAGTTCAGCGACTTCCACACTGAGAAGAGTCGTAAGACAACTGGTAAGCGATATCATCATGAAGAATTAGTCTACCGCCCGCGGTTAAAAACCTTAAAAGAGTAGCTGGGCAGCCGAGTTGGTGAATGAGGATAGAATCTAGTTGCTAACGAAGACCTTTTTCTTAAGGCCTTGACTCTGAGAAACCCAGTCCACCCAAAAATGTATTCGATACATCTGCATTCTTTGGCGACGGGAGTCCCCTAAAAGCGTATGTTGAACTATACCCATCAATAGGTCATAAGTTAACTGGTTTACGTGTATAGCTCCGGCGCCTCTAATGCGGACGCACATACCCCGAACAGGAGTTTCAAGAGCAGCAGCCATGAGCAGCTCCGTCAGCCGTTCTTTGCCCGGAGCTGGGAAGGCACAGACTTCTTTGGTGCGGCGCAGTCGGACAAGGAGTCGCAAGATTCACGCGCGCGCGGTCGAAGTGCAAACCGAGATATCTTTGGTCAAACAGCGGGCTCTACGGGTGCCTCAAACCCCAAATCGCCGCGCTCAGAGTCCGCAACTACCCAACAACCCACGCCTTTCGCCCAGGCGAAGTTCTCTGCCGATGCATGGATCGAGGAGCTGCGAAAGGCGAACATCTCGTGGGCCGTTCCGACAGCTGACAACGCCAAGCAAGCACAGCCAACCGCCTCACAGCGCCAGAAGAGTCCCCGGAAGCAAACCAGGCCTGGAGCTAAACCCCGGCCCACTGCCCAAGCCAGTGTGGCTACTGAAGCTGAAGAAGCCGAGTCCACCATCAATGGAGAGACTACTCAAGAGCCAGCCAAGACCGATACTGCTGATGTAGAAGCTATGGACGTCGACGATGTTCCGCCTGTCAACACCACCGCACCAGCTGCAGAGCCAGAGAAGGCCAAGGAAGACGAGGTCAAGGAAGATCAGCCCAAGGAAGACCCAGCGAAGGCAATGCCCCCACCGAAGATGAAGCCAACCTCCAGGAAAGGAAAGGTCCATCACACGAAGTCATTCGACTTTTCCAACCTCACCAGCACAATGCCCTTCACGCCGACCAGCAATGGCGGCATCGACGACCTACAAGACATCCAAGCCAACCTCCCATTCGAGTCCCGCCCCAACGTCCCCAGGACGACAATGCGCGATGTCCGAGCCCGCCAATTAGTCTGTCCGAACCCACCAAAGCGACCAACCGCACCAGAACTAGTCCCCATCAGCGCAGGGTCACAACAACTCGGTCTTCCCCGAGCAGCATGGGAGCGCTACGCCGCAGAAATGAACACATACATGCGCGAATGGAACACTTTCAACCGCCGTATCCTGCGCCACTTCAACGCGCGCCAAGAAGCCATCGAGACAGGAATGGCGCCGAACTGGATCAGCGCTGTTGGAGACTCCGCGCGTCTCAAAGTAGACGCCCCAGACCAGGACGACGAAGACGACACCAAAAAGGCTGATGGCAATGAAAGCGACGATAGCATGGTAGCCGGCAGCGGCAAAGCCGGATTCAGCGCCTACTTGCGCGGACTGGATGAAGATGCCAAGGTCATGAAGCATTGGGAAGTCGCGAGGGAAATGCACCGAGAGTGTATTCTAAAGCTTGGGGAGATGCGCGAGTGGATTTTGAATGGGGGCAAGTTGGTATAGGTATAGAAGGGTCTGAGCATGAGCATGAGCATGAGTATAGCTCAACAGAGGCGTTTTAGAGACGGCCGAGTACTATTACTACTATTGATTGCATTGGGTATGGGCGTTGGCGTTATATTGCTTACTTACTACTTACTACTGTGGCATTTGGAAGAGGGGAACATATACATGTATCATAGTCTATCGTGGTCATGAATTCGTTTGATATTGGATAGAGAGTATAATAACGAGTTGTCATCTCATCCCTCCCCGTCTCTTCAGGCCTCGAAATTCTACATACAGTCTTCCACTTAGTCAGAAGCAGGTCACAGCATACTATCCCACTATATCGATTGTACCATCTACTGCCGTCTTCATATATCATGTGCCGAAGTCTCAGAGTGTTGAACCTACTACCTACTAAGGAAACTGTAACGATATCTCACAATTACAATGACTTGTCTATCATGTAGGGGCAGGGCAGGTATGGAGGGGCTATATAGATGATTTCATTCTCAGTACTGCTACTAACTACCACTGCTACTAATAAAACGCAGTAAAAAATGCGCAGAAAAGCTAACCGTGATGTGGTTTCCTCATTTATACTCAGATACTAGACACGTGAAGACTCCATACTGCAATTCGCGCACTCAGGAGATTTGCGAATACTGAGCTACTACTACAAAACCGGCATGATCATATGCTCTTCGCAATAAATAGTTCACTCTCTACCCCGTCTTTTCATTCCATCTTCCCCTTCCCAGCAGACAAATACGAACGGATAAATAGCCGAACAAACATATAGATCAGAGGCCCAAGATACAAGCCCCCCAACAGCAGCGCGCCCAAATGATCTGGTTTATGGAGACAGGGGAGCACAGTGTGCTGCATATCAGCGCGGAGATCATCATCCCCGCCAACTGAGATGCGCGCATGCGGTGCATCATACGAAACGAACAGATAGCTCAAACCCAGGGTATACCCAATGGTAAACTGGGCAATCTGTACAGCCGTCAATGTCCGCTTCAGGCGGATGGGGATTGCTATTTTCATTGTCCGGAGAGCATAGTATAGGTACTGCACGATTACCGGGTCCTCCCTGGTTAGCACTATCCGTAGGGATATAACGTATACAGCAGCAGCAGCAGCAGCAGCAGCAGCAGTACTAAAGAGCTTATGGACTGACCATTAATGCATGAACACCGCTATTCAGCAGTGCAGCCACCAAGCAGTGAGGTGACGTCGAACGCATGAGCGCCCATGAACCGACCATGACTCCGGAATGGTGGTATGTTTGTAAGAAGGTGCTTTCTTTCCCCTTTAGGATCAGAATCATCGTGTCCGTTACCTCGTAAAATTTGGACATGTACATGGCCCAGCAGAAATATCCCACGCCTTTCTGCCATAAGCCATCACCATTCTCAGTATCCCATACAGCGGCAGTGACGTTTGGCACGCTGGTATGAAGAGTGGGCCTTCCTTCAATGTGACATAATGTCGCGGCCACATGCACAGAATATGATTCTTGCTTTATGGACGGTAGGTGTGTGTAGACTGTTGAGAGCAATCCGCAAGATACCCATGCAGAGAATACCGAAAGACCGATGTTATGGAAAAGAACAAGGTAGTGAAAGAAGCGTGTCTGGCTCAGTCGCCATGGCTTGTGGCGTCTTTTGCGATTGATGGAGTTGAGGTAAATGATGATCAGGACATACGAGCTCGCAAAGATGGTTGGGAATGCGATATGTAGAGGATAGTTATACACCTCGGCAGATATGTTGAGCGGCCTACTCCAGGATCTTTTTGCATCTGCTGGACGGAAAATTGGGGTGTGATGGATGGATAGGAATTGGATAAGATTAACTGGTGGTAGAGAAAAGTGCAGAGATAGAGAGTTGTTCATTCTGGAGTTGTGGAGAGACTCGAGGGAAGGCTGCAGTACCTTCCTCTTCGAGTTGGACCATCTGGGACATGGCTCCTTCTTTAATATGCTTTACTAGTAGACAAGGGAAAGACGGAACATTCTTTGCCATCTAGGTTAGTTGTATGAATGCTGCTGTCAACGCTTGGAATCATCACGGGATGGTGTACGAACAATCAGCAGCAGCAATAATTCCGGATAACCTGTTGAATATATCCATGATTCGGCTTTATTTCTGTCTTCAATTAGTATTTCTCTTCTTGTTAATTACCGCACAGTATAAATCCTCACTTTTCGCTATTGTGAACTCAGTGACGATAGTAGGGTACGTAGCAATGTAGCGTTCCTCGGGTGCTACTTTTACCGTGTACATCCCTGGCCAACCTCATGCCCGTGTAACCCCTTGCATCCCCACTAGTTATCTACTGTGATGTGTAAACATTCGAAGTCTCACCAAAAAATGCCTGTGAAAGTCTTCGAGTAGCATGTTCTAGTGCCGGGGGTCTGCAAATGGTAATGTCCTCATGTCTTTAATATTCCGGAATAGAATGTCTTCGCCATGCCCATTGTCAGCCTGATATATCGTAGTGTGGTTGATACATCCAATATAAGCCACTGGGCGTGATATACAAGGACCTATACTAAGTCAAAGCTGTTTGCTTCAAAGCATGCGGACTATCAGCTATACGCTCCAAGGTAGCGCACAAGCAGTGTGTTTTCTACACAATTCGTCATTATACCACTATACTTACTTAGCAAACTTATATCAGTTGTCGGATACACGGTAGATCTTGTATGAGACCCTCTCTGTCTCTGGAGGGAGGGTCTCTAGCCGAAGTAGGCAATAATAACTCACCTCTGCCGAGATCACCTGACTCAAAATGCCTCCAAATAGCCTAGCTTAGGGGTACGTAGTACACTAATCTTCAATAGGCAATGATGTATTGTGCCGTCCAATACCGCATCCGACCGAACCCCGCCGCGGGGAACGAGCACCGGTACCGGCAATACGGAGACCCTAAGAAAGGAGTCATGGGGAGGAAGCGGGAAACACCGAAAAGGCCCGCCCAACAACCGGATTTGAGGGTAACGGTATGGTAAGCAAGTAAGTAAAAGGAAATGGATTAGTAGTAGGAATCACTCATGGCTATCGTTTAGTTACTCTGTATAGTAAACTGTGGCTCTGCCTCTCTTGTCTCACCGAGTTCGTCCCGGCCCCCGCCGCTGGCTGAACTTGACTGCCCGCCCGCCCATATATCATTCTTTGCCTCCGCAGCCAGTTCCCCTCCGCTGGTTCTTTTTTCGGCTTTTGGATTTTGACGGTCGCGAGGTTTTTCTACGGAACCTACGTTGCTGCTCCAGTCACTGCAGATTATCTACACAAGATTTGTCTCAGTGTGCTTTAATTGATCTTTACTTTCATCTTATCCTCCCCTACTTCACTTTATCAGAGATTGTTGCTGCTGCTCTCTTGAGATCAGTGACTCATTTCATCCCGCATTCAGTGCCCCGCGTTGCCGTTCGATCTTGACGGACTATTTTTGTCTTCTTGCTTCGCACGCACACCACAAACACATCTACCGCTGGGTAAATCTGCAATTGAGCTGCTTAATTGAGATATATTTCGTGGCTTTATTTTTCAATTCAATAATCATGGGTGTCACAATTGTTCTGGGTAGTCAGTGGGGTGATGAAGGTGGGTTGTCATCTTATTTACCCGGCAGTTCACAGGTCGATTCGAATCGATTGATCGATTGATTGGAATGACAATAATTTGGGCATGGCTGATTTATTGCGATTACAGGAAAGGGGAAGATTACCGACATGCTTGCGCAGGAGGCTACGCTTTGCTGCCGTGCCGCTGGCGGCCACAGTAAGTCTTTCCCATTCTCTCTTCGGAGAACAATATTTAATGGAATGGATAGATGCCGGTCACACTATCGTCCACGGTGACAAGACCTACGACTTTCACATCCTTCCCTCCGGTCTCGTCTCCCCCGCCTGTGTCAACCTGATTGGCGCCGGTACCGTGGTGCACGTTCCTAGTTTCTTCAAGGAGTTGGCTTCTCTGGAAGACAAGGGTCTGGAGGGCGCTGGAAAGCGCATCTTCATCTCTGACCGTGCGCACGTTTGCTTGGACCTTCACTCCGTCGTGGATGGCCTGGAAGAGGCCAAGCTGGGCGGTCGCAAGGTCGGTACTACCGGCAAGGGTATCGGTCCCTGCTACAGTGACAAGGCCGCCCGTCGCGGTATCCGTGTTGGTGAGATTCTCGACGAGGCTCTCTTCGAGCGTAAGCTGCGCTCTTTGGACGCCGGCTACCGCGCTAGATTCGGCGAGCTGGAATACAACGTTGAGGAGGAACTTGCTCGTTTCAAGGTAGGATGACCTTTCCCTCGCCATGTATTGTTGGTCTCGGAAGCACCTTTCCAGGAGCATCTAACAAAACCAGGATTACCGTCAACGCTTGGGCCCTTACATCGTCGACCAATTGGCCTTCCTTCAGAAGTACAAGGACGCCCCTAACACCCTCGTTGAGGGCGCCAACGCTCTCATGCTGGACCTGGACCACGGCACTTACCCCTTCGTGACCTCCTCATCCACCGGTCTGGGCGGTGCCGTTCAGGCCCTCTCCCTCAACCCCACCAGCATCAGCTCCATCATCGGTGTCGTCAAGGCCTACACCACTCGTGTCGGCTCGGGTCCTTTCCCCAGTGAGCAGCTGAACGAATTCGGCGACAAGCTGCAGGGCGTGGGTAAGGAGTTCGGTGTCACCACCGGCCGTAGACGTCGTTGCGGTTGGTTCGACATGGTTCTGTGCCGCTACTCCCACGCTATCAACCACTACACCGCTCTCAACCTGACCAAGCTGGACGTGCTCGATGACTTTGACGAGATCAAGGTCGGTGTCGCGTACATTCTGCCCGACGGCACCCGCACGGAGAACACGATGCCCGCCGATCCGGAAGTCCTGGAGAAGGTCCAGGTCGAGTATGTCACCCTCCCCGGCTGGAAGAGCAACACCATGGGTGTGAAGAAGTACGAGGACCTGCCTGCCAATGCTCGCGCGTACATCGAGTACATTGAGCGCGGGTTGGGCGGTGTTCCCGTCAAGTGGATCGGTACTGGTCCGGCTCGTGACCACATGATCTGCCGCGAGTAAAAGTGGTTGCTAGATACCGTTCATGACAAAAGGTTTGTGTTTTTTTCTTCATTGTGTTTGTTTATAATATCCAAAGACCCGGTGCAATCGGGATGGCTTCGTATGCAATGTGTATATGGATGATGTGATAACTGGCTCATTAGAGGTAGACGATGGTTGGGTATAGAGTACAGTTCGGAATTTACTTGTTAGCTTCAAAGAAGTGTAGCTGCTTTATATTAAATAGTTGTATTCCATAATGCAGGTACCACGGTTCCAGCATCCTCCAACGTCTATCATCGCTCCTTGCGTGTAACTGTCGGCAATCGGGTACGGGAGTCATGCCTTAGGCATGAACAACATGAGTTTCCTATCGAGTCGTCCAGCACAGCAAGACCTTTATCAACAAATCCAAGTAAACAAAGTAATTCCCACAGCATCAAAGATCATAATTCGGTCGTAAGCCCTACATAACCCCTTCGCACTGTCATATAGTGGTAGAATGATGATAGATACCTTTGCCGGCACATCGGCCATTTTCGGCTGGGCGGAGCACCCTCCACCAATCAGAGGCACGACAATATGATGACCGTATTCCCGATCGGACTCCCGAGGTTCCATTCTCAACTTCAGTTCACCTTTGCATCTGTCACTTGCTGTGCTTGTGTCTATCTAGCGCTGAGCATCGCGGTCACCACACCTCCCACCTCCTCCACTCCACTCCCTACAGCAAAAGCACATCCTGCAAAATGGCCTCCATCGCGCGCCAGTCTTCTCCCCTCCTCCGGTCGGCGTTCCGCGCTCCCTTCGCGACTAAGAATGTCGCGCAGGTCGTGGCTTTCCATGCTTCCGCTAAGAAGCAGATCTTGCCTCCTTTGCCTCGTGAGTTTCTCGATATATGGATTGGATGGGATTGGATACTTGGGACGGATCATGCTAATGGGTTGGTGGTTACAGAGACTATTCAGGGAACGAGTACGTGATTTCTCCGGTTGCTCGGTTATTGGTTTTGGTTTTTGTCTACGGGAATTCGATATTCGGGATATCGATGTTGCTCGGACAGCCATGATTGAACTCGAAGGGCCGACATGCATAAAATGTTTGGAATATGCTCTGACAGCTCGACGCAGTGAACGACCCCGCTCCCATCCCCAAGTCTCACCCTACCGAGGGTAGCTACCACTGGACTTTTGAGAGGTGCGTTAACCCTCTATCTTGATATCCATCGGATATATATGGATGGGTCGAAGGATCGATAAACAGGGAATTGGCAAGCTAACTATAACAGAATCGTCTCTGCCGGTCTCGTCCCTCTTTGCATTGCTCCCTTCGCTGCTGGTTCCATGAGCCCCGTCATGGACGCCGTCCTCTGCTCCGCTATCGTGGTTCACTCTCACATTGGTTTCCAGTACGTCTTTCCTCCCTCTCTTTGCCTTTATTAAGCCCCGCGCGCGTGTGTGTGGAATATGAGACTAGAGGCTAATAAATAACAGCGCCTCCATCACCGACTACTTCCCTACTCGCCGTGTCCCCAAGACCCACACCTTCATGATCTGGCTGCTCCGCGCGTTCACTCTCAGCACGGCCGTCGGTCTGTACGAGTTCGAGACGAACGACGTTGGTGTGACGGAGGCTCTCCGCCGGGTGTGGAACGCATAGACTCCTAGGGATGTGTGTTGTTTTGTGATATGGTTTTAGTTTTTATTACTGCTTGTGGTTTGTTTTGGGCGTATGTGCCGCTCTCTGCCTCTGTGTACATGTTCTGATTCCTATATTTTGGCTCGTCGAGAGCTATAAAAGATGTACTTTGAAATATACCTTTACTTTTTCTATCATCATTCA